ATTCGTCGAGCCCGTCAGAATTTAACCTCTTGTATAGCATAGTTCGAGTTGAGATTGAAGCGAAAACTGCGAAATCCTCATCTAGTTGCACAAATGCTCTACTCTGGTTAACAAGGTATGTCATGTTCATGTTGCATGCTTTCTGCCTGCAAGCCAAACCTTGTGTTTTTGAGAATTGAATGTGCTTAGGGCTATGGATTACTTGGTGGAGCTGTTTCGGAATCTACATGATAATCCAGACTGGTCAATGTCGAAGGCTTGTAGCGAAGCGTACGCCAAGACGCTGAAGAAATCGCATAACTGGCTAGCTAGCTCAAGTTTTAGTGTAAGAAATCTCATTCTCTTTTCAATTAGATATTCATGCTCTTGCAGTTAAGTTTATCGTCGATATATTGACAATTGTATTGACCGCATAGTGCCAACGTTGGCTTCAAAGTATCAATAATATTCGTAACATATCGGCATTTTTGAAAAGGTAGCGTAATTGTTCTGAGCTGTTGGATTGAAATGCAGGTTGGAATTAAGCTTGCTCCAGAGAGGAAGAAATTTATGAACATATTAGGTGGTGAAACTCCTGAATTAAACTCTGATATGGGGAAATTCTGCACGAACTTTTCTCCACTCCTCGAAGAGAATCACAAGTTCTTGGTAGGGTTCTTCGTGTTCGCGCAACGTAGTTTCGTTCGAATTTGCATAATTTGGTTTAAGTTTTGCGTTTTTAATCTTTTTGCAGGACTCTGTTGGAATGGACGATTTGAAAGCTTGATGCATGTTCTAAATGAAATTTGTTTATAAGTTGTATGTGTATTTTAATGTATGACAAGATTGTATCTGTATTTGTATTCTTTGTAACCCTTGCTCACTTTTCTACGAAATACAGTGCCGCAAGGAGTTTGTAACTCAAGTGGTTAAAAGTAATCATCCTTCAACTAATGGTAGGCCACATGTACTCCACGTCCTCCCGTTCTGTTGTCCACGTGTTAGGCTTGAAAATTCATTACACATGAGAGGGCGTGTTGAGAATGAATTTCATATTGGTGGGAGGAGGGACCTTACATGTGCTTATAAGTCTCCATATATTCTCCCTCCCCACCATCATTTGTATATAAAAAAAATACAATGTTATTAATTTGCTTAATTTACCACTAAGCTCGAATGTGACAATGTGATTCATTTCTTTCTAGTTCATGACAATGATCGAACAATCCATAAAAACTAAAAACTAAAGAAATTAACTATTTATTTTAAGCTAATCTTATGGCTAACCAAAGTAAGAATTCTAGGCGAATTAAGTTATAACTATTAACTAATGCTATTTTCAAAACGTCTGGTGAAACTCGAGTTGGGTCAACTTGAAATCATCCGAATTCAACCTAAGTTTTAACTTGACTTAAAAAATTACAAAATCTCCATGGCACGTAGGTCGAGTAACTATTGAGCTAATTACGTTTTTCTTGTGATGTGTGCGTGCCAACTCGCAACCAGGCTCGGGCAAATAGAATAGATGTGGTGGTGGTGGAGTCAAATGTGTTGCTTACTTCTGCACTTAAGCGATTACGGCCAAAGAAGGAACGCGTCTCGGCCTTGGGTTCTAGAACCTAAAGACAAGGTTGCTAGATCACTCACTGCGAAATTTAATAACTGGTTTGACTTTTAATGTGCCGAACATGAAGTAACCTGATAACACCTCACTTCAGAGAGAAGCTAATAAAAACCCCTTTAGGCAAAATAATTAGAAACTTTTTGCACGCCGAAATCTGGATAGGTAACCAACCGACACATAAGCAGTGTTGTTAATTCAACCTGAAGATGTTGCCGGTTGCTAACATAGTACTATTAATCCAAACGTCTGTTGATGAGAGGGTTATGATAATTAGTATTTTTCTCAGGAGTGAGAGTTTTCGTATATAGCTTTTGAGTTGTTTGTTGAGTTCAAGGGATGCTTACGTTACAATCCCTCAAATTTATAGTTACAAATCCCTTGATACCCAAGTCTGATATACTCGATCACCATGTCACAAATCCCTTACTAGTTCTGTTGAGTCTGTTGTGTTTGGTTTTACCCATAGGGTGAACAATCGTGCATATGAAGCAGTTTACGTCTCAGAATGTTGGTGGTTTACCTTAAATGAGATTGTATGGAACCTGAATTTCTTTTTAATATTCTTGCGGAAAATATAAACTTATTTATTATAATCAAATAAATATATCATTTGAAAAAAAAAACAAAAAAACAAAAAAAAAAACAAAGAAACAAAAAAACCATCCTGGATGATTTTATCTTCCAACCCCACATGAAATGCTGGACACCACATTCTCCAACACGAATCATACTTCCCTAGAGACCACATGCAATAATCCAATTATCTTGGAATTATCTAATCTTTGTTATCAACTCAAAGGATAAACCTAACAGGTTGGCCTACCACATTGACTTTATCAATTCAAGGGATAAAGCCTCTCACAGAGCATATTCTATGCATTTTGACCTCGTCAAATATCTCCACAAGATAATTCCTAACGATAATCCAATAGTAATATATAGTAAAAATATTGAAATCCAACGCCCTCACAGTTAAACAAATCGATGCAAAATCGGATTCAAACAGATCAACTTAGTGACAAATAAAAAACCGACAACGTAAATGGTATTTACTCTCTTTACAATGATTGTAACTTCTCACGAAAGATGAACATAAGAAATGTGTGATTTGTAAAGCATATATAAAGTTTTGGGGGCTCATAACTTCCGTAGTACAAAATTTTTACTGCTGCATTCATAACTATACTGTGACTCCTAAACATGGTCAACGTGCAAACCATTGAGCAAACTTTAAAAAACAAGTAATGGACTTGAGTCTTGACCAAGTAAACACGAGGATGTTAGCGTAAGCCGAACTTAGAAACACACATGTGCCATCTCATTTTGATGCATTATAGGTTTCACATGTACTAACGACTAAAATTAGTTCACAAACGCATATTCGACTAATCATAGCACTTATCTTGCTTTAATTTTCTACAAATCCGCTATTTATGCAAGTGTTATATATCTAGATGTAGCCATGTCCTCCATAAGTAATTTCCACCCAAAGAAATAGCTAACAAACAATGGAAATTCATAAGCTTCCACCATTCATTACAACCTCTAAAATGACCCGTTAAAACTCCCCCTCCCCTATATTTAGCACGTCAAAGATTTTATTTTCACTCTAATTTTCTGGCCGAAAAATACGACGACTTCTGGTTGACAATCATGGGATTAGGGAAGAAAGAAGAATGCATTACCATCGAATCAACGAGATAAAAAATAGGTTTACTTTAATTAAGCATAATTTGTTTTCCAGTTCATATTCTTTTTTCTCATCACTGCAACCCTCAATGCCACATTTGTCAAAAGCTGTTGTTGGTTTTTGAACACATTTTTCCCTTTCTTTCTAAAGTTTTCCCCATCTTGCAAATTAATACAAGAAAGTGAATGTTCTTAGCTTCTTAGGGAAAAAAATTATAGTTCTGAATGCAGCCTCCTTCAGTACGGGCCTGTAAAATTCAGCCTTGCATCAAGGTATCATAATCGAAACGCAAAAGAATATGGTTTTTTGTTGTTGTTGTTTCTTTTATCAATAAACTGTCATCTGTCAGATTTGAACACATAAAAAAAGACAAATTGCAGTTCTGTTTGCATTAGCCCTTTCATATTGTGTATTTTGATTTTCGATTATTAATTTCTTCTTCTTCTATTGTCAATGTTACAGAATTGGAGGACAAATTTTGGATTCTACATCTAGTAGAGAATTTCCAAGAGTAGTTTTAATTAATTTGTTTAATTAGAATGGCGGCGAAAGATGCAAAGAATAGCAAGATGGTGGTGAAGGACGCAAATAATGGCAAGATGGTGGTGAAAGATGCAAATAACAACAAGATGAAGGGCCTCTTGAAGGGCCTAAGATACATTTCTCAAATTTTTGGTACGTGTAAAATTGGAAGAAGGTTGCAATTAGAGTGATTTTTAGGGTCATTTTTATAAATTTCTCAAAGAAATGGCAATCCTTTCGGCAGATGATAACAAAGACCAAGAAATGCAGATTGGGCTTCCTACAGATGTAAAGCATGTTGCTCATATAGGATGGGATGGCCCTTCAACTGCTAGTTCTCCAAGCTGGGTAATTAACCATTTTTGCTTTTCTTTTTTAACAACATTTATAGTCCACGAGATTCGAATTATGCTCGTAACCTATTTTTTGACAAAGTGAAGACGGATAGCGGCTAGACGAGACCATCATGTGGGTTTTATTTTTCATGCAGATGAATGAGTTTCAAGCTCCACCAGGATTTCAACAGTCAGCACCTTTAGGCAATGGAGATATGAAAGAAGATTATGGGGTCAAATGGGTCTCTGAAGGTACCTCTTTTTTTTTTTTTTTTTTTTTTTTTTTTTTTTTTTTTTTTAACACGCAATATTGACGCATTTGCTTAGAGAGCATCAGTAAATGTGTAGTTTTGTGTCTAAACACATTTCGGTTAACATGTTAATGTTGTAAATGTATGTAGATTCAAGCCAGAAAAGTTCAAGGGGTGCTAGGTCACCGGCGAATGACATGCCGGATTTACCCAAGTCGTCAAGGCGGCATTCATCGAACGGGCACGGAGGTGGTGGAACGGATTCCCCCAAGAAGGAAAAATCAGATAAAGTTAAGCATACAAGGAGGTCTTCTAAGAATAGGGAGATATCGGACAGTAGTACTAGGAGCATCCAGCAATCCACGGATCCAAGTCAAGGCAGCAAGTCGCCGCAAAACCTACCGGACATCCCTAAGAAAACGCGACGGAAGAAGTCGAAGGACTCGTCCATTGGGAGTCCATCAGGGTCAAGGAGATCTAAACACCATGCTAGTTCAGAAACATGTACATCTCCTGGACACCAATCTGCAACCATTTCTCAGAGATCTTTTCAAGAGGGGGAGGACAAGGGATTTACATGAACTTCTTCACAACGTTGATTATTTTGTTGTAGCTAGAATCTTTAATCAGGCTAGCTATATAAAATGTATCAGGAAAGTGAAGCCAAAGAAATGTAATTTTCAGACTAATAACATCATTTCAATTTTTGAAACATTTTACTTTGTTTTTCTCGGTCAAAAAACAACTTCATTAGAAAATCATACGACTTAACCAAATCATCTGTGGAACACCTCACAAAAGCATAAGTTCTTTATACTTTAGTCCAACTCGATCCCACGATAGTCCAATATAGTATATGAGAATTGACCTAATCAGACAACCTTATCAAAAAATTTCTCCTACAACCTATGTTTTAAAATTTCAATGCAAACCATCATTGTGCAATACAGTACAAGGGTGATCTGCTTTTGTCTCTCTTTCATGATTTGAGATCAATTTTGCCCTGAATTAGACAACATTCCAAAACATGTTCGAGATCAATTTCACATGTATTTAGTATTGTCTATCTTGTATACATTTACAACTTTCAACATGCTCTGTACAGTTTTAAAACCCGCAATGTCATACGCGCAATTTTTGCTAGTTCATCACTAATTGACAGAAAAATTGTGGTAAAAAGAACAAAATAATAGTATGATGAAAGATAGTTATAATAATTTATATGCACTTTCCATTGACAAAAGGTCCATAATTACATTAACTTTCCCCTGTAATTCCTAGTGACTGCACATATCTAAAAATTCATACCCCGTTTCAGTAATTATAACCTCTTATTTTCTCTGTTAGAAGACCTAATCCCAGTAAAAAATAAAAAATAAATAAAAAATGACAGATCCAATATCATAGAAACTTCAGCCCAGAAAACAACATGGAGGCAGATTGTCTGCTCTCCTGTTGCTCTTTCCATCCCTTATTATTTGTGCGGTCACGATTAAGCCACGTCAACATTTTATATTCTTATTATTTTTTGTCTTATTATCTCTATAAAAAAATTAATATAAAATATTAACGTGACTTAATCGTGACCGTATAAAATAAGAGAGAATGAAAATGGCACCCAAACAGAAGGGCAGACAATCTACCTTGAAACAATATACCATACAAACTCAGGGATTTGAGAATTTGAAATTACACACATTCCTACCACAGTACACAAACGACTGGAGACAGCAAATATTTT